GTTTCATCACTTCCAGTATTTTCGGAAAAACAGGAAGTGACAAAACGGGGCTAGATTTCGGCCTACAAAGCTTGTAGAAGCCTGCAGAAGCCTTCCTCGAGCCTTTGGGAAGCCAAGAAAGGCCTCAAAGCGGCAAAAAATCAGCTGTGCAGGTAAAGGGATAGCGGGGGGTAGGGGGATGGGGAATGCGCACACATGCGTAGGGGACAATGGGGGGGGGCGTGCACATTGCCTTCTGGGTGCTGGCACGCGAGAGCAAGCGTGCAAGCGCGTGCACAATTTTTGGCACAGGAGCCCAAAAAGGTTAGCCACCACTTGTCTATAGCTAATATACAGTTTAAATCTAGCTACCAAATTCTTTGCCGTTTGTTTTCCTAATCTATAACTTTTTCTTCTACTGTGAAAGAAATCCAGTTCTACCTGGTTTTCACCAGGGTTGCTTCAGGGGCAAAAATGTGTGTGTGTGTGTGAATAGGGAAAACAATAGGCATAGCATTATGACTGCAGCCTGCCTCTTTGTCCTGCACCTGACAGACATTGAGCCCCTCCTATCTAAGACACCCTCTTTTAATGACCCCATAATTCTTTGCGGGGTGGGGTCTGGGCAACACAATGGAGCTGAGCGTTTACTGGCTGGATGCCTTTCCTGTTGCCAATGCGGAGTTTTTATTCAGCAGATATATCCTCATTGTGTCCAGAGGCAGAAATATCTGCCTCTACCTAGGATCGAACTCGCAGCCTCCTGACTGTGGGGCGAGAGCGCCACCTCTAGGCCACCGCACCATTCTCTCCAAGACACCCCTGTCCAGAAGATTAATCCTGATGGAGAATATCAATTTCTGACCCTGCCGTGTCATCAAGTGAAGCTCTGGACTTCATCACGTTTTGCAGACCAACGTAGTGATTCGGGTGATCTCTGCTGAGGGGGTTGAAAGCAGCAGTTGTATGCTACCGGTTCAGACCGGTTCGACCGAACTGGTAGTAAAAAAAAAATTGCCTCCCATCAGCTAAGAGGAGTAAAACAAGCCTCCAACTATCAGCTGGGAGCATAAAAGAAGCGACAAGCGCATGGGAGGGTCGCCCCTAGCTTTTCGTTTCTTTATAGCCTCAGTTGATTGGCTTGTTAGGGGTTTGCGCATGGATACGCGATCACCCTCCAAACCGGTAGCGACTAAGGTAGGATCCCACTCCTGCTTGGGAGGGAGGGCGGTCTCTCCTGCTGCCACGTTACATCTTACCTGCATCACAGTCACAGCTCCGTAAGTCACTGCCGACCAGTACAGTGTCCCCACCACAATGCCAGCAGCAGCAAAAGGACTCACTTTGGATAAAATCCGGTCCACTTGCTGCAGGAAATAGACCACGGGTCCTGCAAAGAGACGAGCAGGCATCAAAAGAAGTCCTTGAGGCAGGATACAGGTGTGAGATGAGAAAAAGCCCCAGAAAATGACAATTAAAAAAACCGAACCAAAAATTCAGAAAATAGAGGAGAAATCAGAAGGAGCTGAGGAAAGAAGAGAGGAGAGAAATCCAAAAAGTGATACAAGCAAGACAAAAGATATGGAAGAGATAGCAATATTTTTTTAACATGGAACAGACAGATTACTCCTTAAGAGTTCAAAATATAAAAAAGAATAGAGAGAAAGATCTCCTAAAAATGATGGGGGAATCGCGGATGGGTGCTCTAGAGACCCAACAGCAAGAGATAGATGCTGTGGCAGCGGAAATATTTAGATTAAATAAACATGATGAAAGGAGTTACAAGATACCAGAGGAGAAGCATGAAAGATTCACCAGAAAGTTAATAAGAGCTGAAATTCTAAAAAAGACAAAGAAATGATGGATAGGCATAGAATACTTTTTAATATGGTGGTTATTCTAATAAGTGTTAGAAAAAAGAAGCAGAAATTGGGAAAATAGTATCTATACTGAAATATAGAGCATATTATAATTACTATGTATACACAAATGTTAGAAATTGAAAGATTAAGACTATGTATATTTAAATGATACTAACATTATTAGAATTATATGTAATTGACCCAGACAATACATTGTTCATTAAGCACTTTTGGATGTTAAAGAAAAAATTACAGATAGATAGATAGGTAGGTAGGTAGATAGATATAGACATAGAAATATAGATATAGATAGGGATATATATACATACACATACATATATACATATATGCACATACACACACACTCATATATAAAATTATATAATTGTTATTTCATATATATATATCTATATATATAAGCGAAATACCACTCATGCATCATCACAAAATCTCCAGAACTGTAAAGCCTACAAACTTGAAATTTGGCATGTATCTTCCTCTTGGCTTCTAGGTGCTCGCTAAGAAAGGATTTTTCAAAATGACCCTCAGAGCATTTAGAGTATTTCCTATATTATTACTATTAACACGCTCTGATGCTAAGGAGTGCTACTCCTCCCCACCTGAAAAGAAATCTCTTCCAAATGCGAAACACAAGCAGAGGAGTTTCAGTTTTAGTTTCAGAGCTGCAACCAGCTTTAGTCCAGAACAGTTGAGCTAAGCCATGCCCAGGCTCCTTGCTGTCTCCTTCTTGCTCACTCAGCAAATTCTCTTTCAGTTTCCAAACAGCACTCCTCTCTCACACACACTGACAGGACGCTAGCCAGATGAATACCGATGGAGGCTGGTAGGCAGAGGCACAATTCCCTCCTTATTTTCCTTCCCCCAAAACTAAGCCTGACCACATAGTTTACTTTATAGTGACTATGTGAAGTTACAACAGCACTGAAAAAAGTTACTTGTAAACCATACTTCACACTTACAACCACTGCAGCATTTCCATGGTCACATGAACAACTTTGAGGCGCTTCTCAGTTTTTTTCAGTGCGTTGTATTGTCAGTTACTAAATGAATGGCTATTGAATGGTCATTCAGTCTCGTTGGTCCTGGGTGGTATGGGACCAGGGAAGGAAGAAAAAAGGAAGGGAAAAAAAAATCTGGAACCATCCATTATTAGAAGCATCCAGGACAGTCGTTTGAAGCCTCCAAATGTGTCCATTCCGTGCAAGCCACACCACGCTGGTGGAGAACTCAAAGAGAAGTTTGCAAGCAAGATTGGGTTTTTAGGACTCTTGGAGGAAATGTGGTGTTTATCCAGCACCTGAATCCGCTGCAGCCAAATGGGTGCATTAATCCAGCGGTGGTTGGGCCTTTCCTGGCCAGCTCTGTACTCACCTACTTTGGGAAAGACGATGCAGTACTCCGTTCCACACTGGGGACAACTCACACTGCCAATACTGTTGCCCTTTTGCTTCTCATCCAGCCATCGTTGGAGGCAGGCCTGGTGGATCCATTTGGTGGATCCTTTGCAACGACAAGGACAGACCCACTCTGCCGACCGGTCGTCGCCTTCGGTGGCAAAACACACCCAGCAATGCCTGGGAGACAAAGAGAAAGAAAAGGAGAACGGAAACGTTGAAGGAAGGCAGAGTGATGGTGTTGTGGCCTGTTGGCCGCCGGCTCCTCCAGCAACCGAATCGGAGGAAGAGGAGGGGTGGGAGTCAGGGTCAGCATCGAAGCAAACTAAAAGGTCCGAGGGAGAAGAGGAAATGAAGCTGTCAGAGAGAGAGAGAGAGACAGGCAGAGGCAGAGCCTGGGCCATCCGTCAGCCCTCAGATGGAGTGTCAACAGCCCCCAGGTCTGGAGGTGGCTGATGAGGAAGAGGAGGAACAGCTGGCCCCAGCGCCTGACGCATGGATGTGGAGAAGGCAGAGAGGAGAGGAGAGCAGTGGAAATCTATGGGCCGGTCCTTGGGCCGCTGCTAGCGAAGCCCCATCCAGCTCTTGAGGACAAAAGGCAGGGGGCGGAGATGAATAGATGTGGCAGACAGCTATTCATCTCCCTGCTGGATGGACTTATTAGAAAGAAAGAAACTTTTTGCCGGCATTCCTAATAAAGGAATCTTTGAGCTAACAACAGAGGGTTTGTTGTGTTTAGGGAACTGGAAAAAGAACACCCCTGAATTGCTAAATGTCTGGCAGGGAATTTGACAGCTGCAGCTTCAGGGGTCTTTGTAGAACAGAGTAAACAGAACCTTGATCAGAATACTTTTCAATAATATGCTATACTGCCAAAATGAGGCAGAGACTCAAAAATCGTGGAGTTGGAAGGCATACAAATAGTCTGGTACCATCATCATCATCAACATCAGAAGGACGAGCACAGATGACGTTACCAGTTTGGGCAATGAAACGTCTGCAAGAAAACAACCAAGTTCAGACAGCACGAAGGATCCTTCATTTCAACCCCGAGCTACAAATAGTCTTCTCCCTTTGTTGGAACGTTGTCCAAAGGAGATCAACAGGTTGGCCATGGAGCCGTGCCAAGCCTAAGTGACCAACTGCTCTGAGATCAACTTGCAAAGAGTGGGACCTGCCTCCTTGAATCTGCTTCTGAAGTGAACCCGGTTTCTCTTATTAATGAAATGGTGTGAAGCATTTGAACAAACCCATAATAATAACAGCAGCAACAACAATAATAATAATTTTTTCTGGGTTTGCTGTTATCTCGTTTGCTGTGTACGCTGTCATTTTTTGTGTATAATAATCATAATAATAATAATAATAATAATCATCATCATCATGATGAACTCTAAGGCTGCAAAAAGTTGATGTTCAAAGCTGGTCTCACAAGTTTGGAACTTGTGAGACCAGCTTTAGGCACAGGATCAACTTGAAATGAGACACACCCAACATGTCTCAGTTTAGCCATGCACCATTTCATGATTTCAAGC